GCTTTCATACTAAGGCCACACTGAGTGAGAGACCTTTCGATACCTAAATATGCTATTTGCCCTATAGCTTTGCCTCAGCTATAGGCTTTCTATTCTATACATTTTCAAAATCACATACCTTTTTGGGTTATTCTCCTTTAAGCTGTACTTAATTATTTAACTGCTGTATTTGATATATTATTTGAACAGTTTATACTGTAGGATTAAAGGTGTGAGCATAGACTTGTGGTTGCACCATTTTTAAAGTTTTTTACATAGTCATTTAATTTTTTTTTTTCATTTCAGAACTACTCTGGTGAGGAGGAGCTATGCTGTGTCTATGTTCCCACTAATCATCTTTACATTGGTGACATATTTCTTATTAACACTAGTGATGTTATCAGACCCAACCTTTCAGTCCGAGAAGGAATAGGTGAGAAATTTTATTTTAACATGTTGCCTTTCGGCAAGGCAAGGGCTGGAGAGTTTACTTTTGATTCTGCTTTAACCCAGCTCAAGCTTTGTAACACCGGTGGTATTGTAACGAATACCGTCCTTATTCAAGGCATGGGGCTACTTTTCTCACTTCAGTATATACAAGTGTCAGATTTTGGAAACTGAATATTTCTTATATTAGGAGCGGTTATTTCATTCACAAAGGGTCTCTGAATAAGTAACTGACGCATATGTACATTCCAGAAACAGGAACAGTAAAAGATGTAGAAATTTTATCTATTTTAAGTTAAAACCTGTCTGAAGAGAGTGTAGAAAAATAATCATCTCTGAACAAACGTCCAGTAAGAGATAAACTTGTCTGGGTTATATGGTAATCGCTTTTTGTAGTTTAAGTATTCAATTTGTTACTGGTTGCAGAAATTGTTGTGTCTGGGGGTATGTCGATGCCACAAATCCTGGCAACACTGGACTCACGCCTGACAGTTGATAGCAGACTTAACAGAAGCTGAGCACGAAGAAGGTAGTTGTAGAGTTTGTTTATTTATTTATTTTTTTTTTCACCTTTTGGTTTCCGATTGAGTTATATGAATTGCCAGAGTGGGAAGAGAAGATTTTAGAAGTTTTGAATCCTCTTGGCATATGTAACATTTATTCCCGTGTAGAAAGTAGAATCTAGTATTTGTTTGTTTGATCAATACACACAAAAATAGGCTGTTTGGAACTATTAGTGACTATGTTTTTGCTACCGCTACTATAACGGGGAATCACCTTCAGCACTGATTTTATTTTTGTGCTTTATTTTTTCTACTGATGATGTCCTTGTTAACATTATCGGATATGGGTGAATCGGCAATAGCCTGTGAGATGAAATAGATGTTGTTCTCTTCAGCCTATGTTTTAAGGTGAATCTACTATTAAAATAAAATAATGAATAGGGTGTGAGAAGAAAACTAGATGATAAAAGGTTTTATGTAATGCATAATTTCAGAGTTTGTAATTAATTATACAATAATTGTTATTATATTAATTTTACTTTTATAATAAAAATAATTTAGTAAATTTGTAGTCAATCTAAAATTACATTTATTTTTTTATTTTAGTATTTAAATAGATAACCATTGTATATATTTTCATATTAAATAAATAAATAAATAACTGCAGGATGTATTATTATATTAATTTTATTTTAATATATTTTAAAACTGTAATTTTATATTTAAAAAATTTTAAAATAAATTATTATTATATTTTAAAAAATTAGAAAAATCGATGTGTGTTAATTTTTAATTTTATTCACATATAATAATGGAGATAATAAATAATATATCTGAGAAGATGAATATTAAAAAGGATAAACAAAATTATATTTTGGGGTTTGGACGTTTGAGAAATGAATGGTTTGATCAAATTGTATAATGGGCTTAAAGAATGAAACAACTTATTTTTTAACTTGAAGAGGTTTACAGTCTTACCATGGGCCGATAGTTGTACCCAAGTGCCGGTAATCCCTTTTGTCAAATGTACAATCTGACCAACACGTTGTTAGAACGCAATCTCGTCCGTCGATCTCATCACAGAAGTACGTCATTCGTGAATGCAACATAATGAACTAAAACCTCCCGTATTCTAGCAGAATCCTCCGTCAAATAAAAACCCTAACGACGAAGTCGCAAGCAAACCCTAGCTTCCTCCCATCCAGCTCTCTATATAAGTGTCATCTTCCCAGCTGCCAAGAACTGTGGCCGGAGGCTTCTCTTGTTTTAGTTTTTTAGCGTTCATTCATAGTTTAAACCTGCTGAATTCCACCTATTTGATTATTTTCTTCTCGAGTTTGTTTCTCAAAAAGCTAAGAGGGACGGTGACGATTTCATCGTGAAAAAGGTCTCGTTCGTCGTAATTGGCTATTTGTTTATAGCCTTGCCGACCATCCTGATATATCACCACCCATATTCCGAGTCCCCTCTTTTTATTTTTTATTATCATTTTTTTTTAAGCTTTAGAAAACGGTTTGCCATTGTTAATCTGGTGACCTTAGTTTTCTCCTCCTTTTTATGAAAGATCTTTTTCGTTTTTTTTTTTGGGTTGATCCATTAATTGGCCTATGATTAAATTGGTTAAATATAGACAAGCATATGTCTGAATTTATACATGTCGAGTAGACTAATCTTCTCTATGAGGCCGATTGCAACCCATTTTTCCTGTTAATTGTTTCTGTATTTTCTTTTTCGGGTTGTAAGATTATTTCATATTTTCTCAGCCGATGAAGAAACGAACGGTATTTCCATAGCGTATGAGAATTCCTGATTACATAATACCACTACTGCCTTCCTTCTGAGGCAATTCATGTTTTCTCCTATAGTTTTTTTAACCCATTTGGTGCTTTGATCTGTTCGGTGGGTTTTCATTTGATTTCACTTTTGTTATTTTCTTGTCCAAACCGGCCTTATATTCAAATATGCATTTGTTGTTACAGGAAATGCTTAAAAGCGCAGAGTTCATAGCTTACATGTTCCGTATAAGCTGAGAAACCCTACTGCAAAGGTTGTGGTGAAAAGTACTAGTTTTCAGTTGTTTGCGTATCCTGTTTGATTATCCAGATTGTTAAATAGAGATTGTGGGTCGTGTGATGATCATTAGCATAGTTCAGATGATAATCTGTGATTAATAATATGCACGTCTTTCGCTCCTATCTGATGACCCGATATCTTCCTTACTGTCATTTGAGATCTCGCGTTCCTTTTAAGTCTTGGTATTGCTAACAGGGATGAATTGCATGAACCACCAATTTTAAATATTAGTATCCAAAAATCAATTTTAATAGTTGGGTGAGTTTAATTCTTGGGAAACACTTGTTGAGTTTGTACTTTTGCTTTCGATAGGCGTTGCGTTCTTCATTGGAGTTTCCATACCAGAGGGGCGCGTCAACGAAAGCATAAATCAAGTTCAATCCACTGCTCAGATGCAGTTTTCATTGCAGGCTGTGCATTAATTTGATGGTCGTAGCTTGCTTTCGCATTGGATTGAGCCATTTGTTTTATGAAAGTTTTTACCTAGTGCATAAATGTGTGTGCGATTTGTGAAAATTAGAAAAATGTGAATGTTGCTTCTTACTGGTGAAGTCTCTCTGACTGAAATTGGGAGATGTTCTAGTTTCCGAAGCATAGAATAATTGTGCCAGTATTAAACAGCGCCGTGTAATTCATTGTTCTTGCACTGTGTTACCTGTCTCCTGGTATATTCTATAAGAAATCTACCAGTAAATCGTAGGGTTTTAATTTGTGAGATGTTGCAGTGAGAGTGACAATTTATAAGAATGGTCTCGTTCGGCATAATGGCATGATGACCATCCTGATATATCACCACCCACATTCCGATTTCCGTCAATTTCCAGTTTTGCCTCTTTACCTGTGATTTTAGCCTAGAAGGATTCTTGAATTTATCTCCTTGTTTATTTCATCTTGCTTTTACTCCATACCTTTATGTAAAATTTGTCAAAATCCGGCCTTGATTGGATTGTCCACTCTAAGAAAAAAGTTCAGAACAAATTTGGTGTTGATTATGAATGAATTTTACAAAAACTTTTACATTTCTTCTCAGTACAATATAAATTTAACAATAGAATAAAGTTGCATTACAATATTAAAGAAAAAGTAATCATTTTCGAAGTTTTATGTGAATTTAAAATAGTAATTGTAGTTTCTTTTGAACATGTATAAAAGTATATCATATTTCAATAAAACCATGTTCATCAAATTAACTAACACAACAAACGTGAATATATATATATATATATATATATATATTAGGGTCATGGTAGGTGTATAATGGTTGGGGGTGGCAGATGGAAGAACCTTGATGATCATGTTTTTTACCTCCCCTCCAATCAAGTCAAGTTTCATGTCTCTCCAAATCAGTTTGATGCAGGGGACAAACAAGAAAGTTAAAAGTGTAAATTTTCTACGAAATCTGAATACTGATCATACCTGCAGCTCTTGTCATTGTTGTCTTCAACTAAATCAAATACTAAGTTCAAGGATCCATTTCTTTCGTACAAAACTATTTATTTTTCAGTATTATCATCAGTTAATATATAGATAATGGATTTAGGTGCACTTACACATGTTTGTTCATATCTATAAGCTTTTTATGAAGCTGCAGTCAAACTAATAATGTTATTGTCTCTCTACCAATTAAAATCATTGTGCCAGTTAGTTATTATATGATATTTTCTTACTGAAAAAATGTGTTTTATATATCAAAATTCAAGTATAATCTATTTTATGTGGCTACACTTGTTGAAGAATCCTCCTTTACTTAGTTTTATGCCTGATTACTATGTGATTCAAGATTGCAATGACCATAACATAATTGGCAGGGTAAGGGACTTGATGATTTATGTGTTGAATGGGAACATGCTGGAGAATGAAGAATTTGCATTTGCTTCTATTGTTTCTTTTTAAACCTTGGCACAACTGCCTCAGTCACCCTTCATCTAGAAGGCTTGAAGTGTTGAAAAACTAGCGTCGTTGTCCTAATCTTGAATGTAATAATAGTCCTTGTTGTATATGTTGTTTGATAAAACAAAAAAAGATTATCGTTTGATTCCCATAATCATCCGTCTCCTCAACCATTTAAGTTGATTAATTGTATATATGGGGTCTTTATTTCTAAAGTTATGATGGACATCAATTCTTTCTTACAATAAGGGATGATTCTCTAAGGTTTACTTAGATATTTATTTTTAAGAATAAGTCTCTTATAACTTCAGTCACTACATATTTTTTCAATCTTATGGAAAATCAATTTGGTTGTACTATGAAAATTATAAGGTCAAAAAATATTGTTGGGTTTTGGGTTCCCTCCTATGTAGAAAAATCAAAATCTTTTTCAGCCTACTTATTTTTTAACCCAGTAGAGCAATTAGTGTTTTTATAGTGTACTACTTTAACCCCAAGGAATAGTAGAAAAACAAGTTTTCAGCTACCGAAAAGAAAAATAACAAAAAGGGAATATTTGCTAGAAAAATTACGTCTAACGTGTTTCGGTTCTTCCCACGATCAGATGGTCATCTTTATTTCGATTAGGCTGAAATTTGGTAAGAATTTAGAAAACTCAATGTTCTTCATTTTGAACAATGGAGATCAATTTTGGACAGTTGGATTTTGAGTGTTTTCAGTTCGAAAATTAATGTTTATGTT